GGCTTTTCTCCAATTAGTATATGCTTTCAGGAGCAGGGGAATAAGATGAAAGGATCTGCAACAAAACTGATTACTGCTGAAACAAAATGGAAGTTACTGCTTTTCATAAAATACAAGGCTATGGCAGTACTTGAATAATTTTATGGGAAGTTGCTGCCTAAGGCATATGTTTTACTGTCTGATACTGAATGCATGAGGAAAAAACCATCTGGTTTTTTCAGCCTGAACAATTACATGATCCAGATTGAATCACTAGAGGCCAAATATAATTGCTCTGTGTTTTGCTTTTTACTACTCTCTACCTACAGCAGCATGGTCTTGTACAACATGTATCATAGCACACAGTTCAAATGATGGCATGGGAAAATACTTTTTCTTCTATTGAGAGTTATCAAATTACTATCCAGGGTTTAATGCAATCATCTACACTTCACCAGTCACTGGAGAAATAATTCACAATGAGAAAGAACAATTTCTGATAAACTTTGACCACTGTGATGTTTGACTTTAGGGATTTCTTTTTGCTGGGCAGATCCTCATTTAACATTCAGCCAGGTGAAAGTTGTTGCTGCAGCCTTCATGCCTTCAGCTCCAGCTGGGAAAAAGGAGAGGTGCTTTTCTTTGCATGGCCTGAGTAAACAGATTGCACTAAAATCATAGCAAGTGAATCCTTACTATTAGTTTACTTTGGGGGAAAAGCACTTCAGTGATATATAAACTATGGAAAAGATTCCACTTTTGTTTCTAGTGTTGTGTTTTACAGCACCTAAATGTATGCTTTTCATTTTGCCAGAATAGTAGGACTGGGTTTCTCCCCTCCATAAAATTGCTTACAGTTTAATTTTAGACATAATGTACTGAGTGGCACTAAAAGAAGTATTCAGTGCTGAAGGGAGGAATAAGGGACTGGGGGCAATATTTGAATATGTGGGTGGATAAATACAAACATTTTTCTTTTGTTCTTTAATAATAATAAAAATAGTAGTAGTAATGATGATGCTCTATGCCTTTTCTGGAAAAGTTGTGAGTTTCTGGAAAAACTGAGCAAAATCTACAGAATTTTGGAAAAATTTCTTTCCAAGGCTATTTTTGTGTATTGCTGTGAGGATTGTTTCTGCTTTTCATGGATAAACTGCAGAACTATGTCAACCAGGTGCTAATCCACACTGCACCTGGCTTTCCTGAATATTTGCTTTTATTTTGATTAATACACTGCTTAACTGTACTCATTCCCTCTCCTGACTCATTTTTCCCATCTATTGTGAATAAACACCTCACAGTGATATTCTAAATCATAGTCCTGACAGACTATGGAAAGCAAGTGGGGGGTAAATGGACGATGGTTTTGTGTAAGATTGGGCTGTTACTTAAAAGGATCAGGTTTATTCCACATGTAAAGACTTTCTGGGTAGCCTTAGGCAAGTCCCTTACCTTTACTGTGCCATGGTCTCCAACTGTGATATGGCAACAAGAAACTTTATTTTTTCCTGCTGTGTCTGTTTTCCATAATTGTGCTATAAGAAATCTCTTCCAAAAAAACCCTGGTATTGTGTGTTTGGATAAGACCCAGTACAACTGGGCCTCCAATTTAGTTGGTATTACAGGAATAAAATCAAACAAATTTTTAATACCTAAACACAAAGGAAGTAAGCAAATGTCATTTTAATTGATTCAGATCTAAAGAAATTCAGCAAAAGGAAATTACATTCTTTTACTGTAAATTCTTAGTCACTTAATTTTATTTTGCCCTCCATGCAAGCCTTAATGAGAAGAAACCGCATTTATGCCTATGTCAGTAGGATGTAATTATAGGGGGATTGCATCTGAAGGCTGTAGCAGCTGAAACTACCAGTAATGTTCTATGAGATTTTTCCATTTTTATAAAGTGAAGTGATGGGGAGAAAAATTGCTCACAAGGTGGATTTTTGTCACTTATCATAGAATTACAGAATCATAGAAAAAGAGAAACACAGAATGGTTTGGAGTTGGAAGGGATGTTAAGATCATCCAGTTCCAACCCCCCTGCCATGTGCAGAGAATCTTTCACAGGTTGCTCAGAGCACCGTCCAACCTGACCTTGAACACATCCAGGAATGGGGCATCCACAAGTTCTCTGGGAAACCTGTTCCAGTGCACCCTCACAGTAAAGAATTTCCTCCTAGTATGTAACCTATATCTTACATCCTTCAGTTTGAGGACTTGCCCCTTGTCCTATCACTACATGCCCTTGTGAGAAGCCCCTCTCCAGCTTTCCTGCAGGCCCCATTAAGGTAATGGAAGGCTGATCTAAGGTAGGTTTCCTGGAGCCTTCACTTCTGAGGGGACTGGAGCAAGGGAACATTGATTCTCTCAGCATGTCTTCACAGGTGGACTGGTCCAGCATTGTGATCAGTTTGGTGGCTCTCCTCTGGCAGATGTCCCAACAGGTCAATGTCTTTCTTGTGCTGAGGGCCCCAGGGTGGGATGCAGCACTCCAGGTGCAGTCTCACAGGAGCAGAGAGGGAGAATCACCTTCCTCACCTTCTGGCCACTCTTCTTTTGATGCAGCCCAGGATGTGGTTGACTTTCTGGGCTGTGAGCATGCATTGCCAAGTCATCCTGAACTTTTTGTCCAGAAATATCCCCAAGTCTTTCTCCCCGGGGCTGCTTTTGATCCACTGTCTGCCCAGCCTGTACTTGTGCCTGAGATTGCATGAGTCTTTATCAAATTGCAGGGCACCCCTGAGACAGGGAATCATTGGCATCTCACTCCATTGATTCAGAATGCTGAACAATTGCTTTATTAGACTATATTATATTACATTACACTATACTATATTAAAGAGTACTATACTACAAAGAATAATAAAGAAAACTCATTACTGTCTCCCGACAGTCAGGCACAGCTTTGAGTGATTGGTTAATTAATATTAAAAAAAAAACATCACTAGAATCTAATTAGGAAGTCCCTCCAGGTAAACAATCTTCCTAACATGTTCCACCTGTGCAAAAACAACAGGAGCAGCAAGTAGAGATAAGAATTGTTTTTCTCCTCTCTGTGCTTCTCCAGGCAAAACCCTGAGAGAGAGTTATATCTCTCTGTTCAGAGAATGTGAATGCCACAAGTCTTGATTGAGTTTTTTATTAAATGAAGTATATGTTGATCTTCACCTTTCTCTAGTCTAGAAGATAAGACTTGCCAATGGTGTATGTCAAATTTGCACTTTACCCTCCTGGATACTATTTTATTTACAGTCCTTAAGAGAATTTATATGCAAGCTCCTATCATATTTGATTTTCAGAGTAGAACTTCTGCCCAGCAGTTAAGAGATATGCTACAAAATATGCCTCCAAAGTCTTATTGCATTGCAGATAGAGATTTTTTCTACTAGAAATTCTGAAGACTAGAATTATATTTTTAGGTAATATATTGGATATTTTATATCACTCCTGTATTACCTCACTATGGAAAGTCTGTATGGGAAAAAGTAATCATAGCTCCTGAAGCTCAAGTGTATGCAGATGCAATAATATATTAATGTTATATCCAGTAGTTAGAAACACAGAAGTATGTAGGTTGAAAAAAGCTTCTCTGAGTCTTCCAGTCCAACCTCCTGCTCAAATCAGAGCTCACTTCAAAGTCAGACCATGGCCTTTTCCAGCCAAGTTCTGCAATCTTTGGGGTCAGAGGTTTCACAGTGTGGTGCATTGACCCTGGCAGGACACTGGGTGCCCACCAAAGCCTCCCTATCATTCCCCTTCCTTAGCTGGATGGAGGAGAGAAAGTGTAAGGAAAGGCTCACGTGTCAAGATAAGGTCAGGGAGGGATATGTATCTGAATTAATTACAATATCTATCCATGTGGGTTAGAACATCAGTTAATGAGTCCCAGCAATTCAGACAAAAGTCAAAGGCCTGCTCTTTGTTGGTTGTCTCAATGTGCAGCATGACTGATAAGTGTTTTAAGAATGAATTTAGCAAAGCATTAGTAGAATCAATTATTACTGGGTGCTGATTAGTCAGTTCATAATACTGTGGGTAAAAGTGAACCTCATTTCTGATCCAGTTCACAGATGGTTTCCCTAGCACAGTGGTATTGTTGGTGAAGCAGTACAAGGGGAAAGGATAATCCTTACCACCAACAGTATATGTGTCAGAGCAATACCAGTTCTGCTGGCTCGGATCTGCAAACATGTGCTGTGACAGCTAAGGGTTGGACGTGGGATATGCAAGAATTTCTGGAGTGATACCATTTGTTTGGATCTTCCTCACAAAAAGATTTAGCTTTCTTTGCCTGTGTGTTTCATCAGTACCATGAAATATACAGGCTCATGCAAACTCAGAATTGTGCTCATGTTTTCCTGAATGTTTCCTTGGCTTGTGGCTTGTGTAATTGTTTTAAGTTATTAACTGGATTGTATGATAGTAAGTTTGTTCCCAGAATGGAGCCTGTTCATTGAGGACAGTGATGCCATAGCTCTGCCTCTCACTTCAGGCAGTTTGAACTCTGTTGAAGTCTGTTGCTCAGAAAGAGATTGTTTCGGATGGACAGAGAGATGCAATATGTAACTTAGCTCTTTGGTAAGCTTATGCAGCAGGGGTTTGTGGTCAGTTGAGGGATAAATGATTTTTCAGACCTGGGAAGCAACCCTCCCACTGGAGATCTCTCTTTAAAGACGCTTATATTATCTGGATTGCATAAAGGTACAGGATTTTGATACATAAAGTAACATCTGTGGATATTGGGTCATTTTCCCAAGAAGATTCTACTACTGAATTCTAGCAGTGCTGCTTAAACATATAGATTTAATAACAGGTTATTATTCTAATATGTGTTTAATGTGTTTATATTCTAAATAGTGTTTAATGAACTAAATTAAGTGCTAGCTGTATTCCCCTCTACTAATGAAGACTGTACAGAGAGTCAGTCTTCTGTTAATGTCGGTGAAGTACAATCAATATAGATACTGGGTCAGGGTACTGTAAAATATTAACAATTATTAATATTCTTTCTTTTTCAGTTTTCTCCTTGTGTTTGGTTGCTTGATTTTGTCCGTGTTTTCTACTATTCCTGAACACACAAAACTTGCCTCTGGTTGTCTCTTCATTTTGGTAAGTGAAAATTCTAAATACAAGACAGTTTTACAGATACTATAGTATACATTCAAATCCTCTCCCTCACTATGGAGGATGTAATACAATACAATAACTGAGCATTTAGAAAAAAAAATCAGACTTTTCCTCAGAATGATGAAAAAATTATAAAATAGAGGATTTTCCACCATCTTTTTATTTAAAACAGGTCAGATGGTAAGAGAGTGTTAATGAAGTATGGTAGTGCATCCCCTTCTTTGCTTGAGAACTGCTGTGGTTTATAACAGATAGATTTTCTACCACAGTTTGGCAGTGACTGAGCATGAAAGACCTTTGATATTGCTGCTGTCATTTATAAAGTCAGTATGTAGTAAGAGGCACTTAAAATAGGAATTAATTTTGGTATCTTAGATACGGATTTGGGCTAACTATTGGTAGATACTGACATTTTAGTACCAGTTGCTGCAGTAGGATGTGGTAGTTTCATTATTTCTTCATAATACATGCTTTTGTATTATGTTTATCTCTCTTTTTTCCCTTCTGAGGTAAATGAAAAGGGTTTTAATCCCTAAAAGTGCTTAACATTTTCCTTGCATTGTATGACACTTTATTCATCTGCTTCTTGATGGGCCATTTAGTTCTGCAAGTGATGGCCTGAGGATAGGCAGTAGTGGATATTAAAACGTCACCATATACCCAGAGTTACCATGGTTATTTCAGGTCCATGCATTCAGCAGGCTGTGGCTTGTTAGGTAGCGCCTGAGGTGAAGTAACTGTTGACAAATGCCAACATTTTAATTGTCATCACTGTGTATATCCAAAAGGTCTGGTCTTCAGAGCAGCTCCCTAATTAATTATGGCATGAGCAGGCTGATAATTGTGTTGTGTGCAATGTCTTTACAGCACAATGGGCCACTGCATCAAAATACCTGAACTAAATGTCCAGAGCAGGCTAGGTGCAGGTATGTGGTGTTTTGCTCCATTGGATGATTTCTTAGCAGGGCTAATTAGGGAGAGCCATGCTAAATGTTGCATTTTTATTCCTAGCCATATTAGTGCTTTTTCTTTCTCTGGAGAAAAGATCAGGTGGCATTAATCCAGCTAAAAATGGTCAGATTTAAACCTACACTCATACCTAAACCCATTATTTACAAATCTGAGCAATACTTGCTAAATGGAAGTCTGTTTGAATGTTCTGCAGCCAGTTATATTATAGTAGCTGGTACACTAATTGCTAAGATTTTTTGGTATAGAAAACAGGAAAATCTGATTAGTCTGGAAATACCCTATTTATAATAGAAGAGGCTTTTGTGACAAGTAATCTGTTTTCCTGTATACTTATGCAAATTGGTCATAGTAATACCATTTGTTCTGACATAAAATATGCATTTCCCGTGAGCCACATATTTGTTGATTGTGTTGGTACACTTAGCACTGCTGATTCCTCAGCTGGCTGGCTCCCTGTGCTTTGCCATGGGTCTCACAGGAGCCACAACGTGCAGGAGCCCTGTGAATGCCTGGCCTTGCTCCCAGTGCTGGGCAGAGATGTGGTGAGCTCTGATTGCTGGTACACCAGTCCTTGCAGAGGTGTTCATCAGCTGAGCAGAGCTGCTCAGTGTCTGATGGGGGAAACTTCGGTGCTTTTTGCTGCTGTGGCTTCAAAGATGAGCTTTGTCCACCCTAACTGTTCTGGCTGTACATCCCATGGCATCCTCTGAATACAGAATAGGCTTTAAGCAGGAAAAGGGTGGATCCTTGAAGCATCAATACTAGCCTCATCTAGCTTTTCTATAATATAGCCTACTGTGTTCAACAAACCTTTGAGAGGAACAAACCTAGTGACAGCAAATTTTGCATCTCCTGCTGTGGGTCACTAATGGAGAAAAATATAAACACAGCAAAGAATGAAGTTCCAGAAGCAGGCTAAAGCTGACTGCTTTACTGCAGTTTGCTGATGCATCGTTTGTTCCTTCTCTACATACTCAATCAGTAGCTGATATTAACAATGTTATCAAAACAAACTTTTGCAACCGCAAACCAAAAGGAAAGCACATTTCTACATTAACTCAGGAGCAGTTGTTTTGGCTATGCCAACACCTAAATGCAGTCACTAGAGTTTTCACAACCTTTTCCTTGCAGTGATTCACACAGCTCTTCCAAATGTGTCATTTAGTAAGACAGCTGTGTCACCTATCAGATCTGGTTTAATACTGTTTGTGCATTGTTCTTGAAATAGAATATATGTGTTTATTTTCTAATGAAGAACCGTACAAATATAACAATCCATAGAGCTGCCTGCTGGGTTTCTGTGAACTGTTTGTTCTGCAGATTTATTCCAGATGGTCTCCCCCACAGCCATGTTAATTGGCTAAAAAGCTAATGTAATGTTCCTCCAACTTAATACCTGAGCTGCTGCGTGCACTGGCACCTGTGGCTTTTGACATATTGCAGCTATTCACAATTACACAGGGAGATTAAAGAGGGAAGTGTAGATGAGCTGAGCAAACCTTTTCCTCTTTCTCACAAAGGCTAGAGGAGCTGAGAAGATTATTCTTCTCCAATCAGTCAATTCCATTTATCTGCCCGAGCCGTGCCCTACAAGGGAGCAGAGAACATATCTCCTAATCACTGCATCCCAAATACTCTCTCAGAAACATGCAATTTGTGATAGCTCAAAGCAAATCATTCTTTAGGAAAGCAATAATAGCTGAGGGCTTCTGAGCTTCAGCAGAGGTTAATGGACTCATCTGGGCTGCAGAAATGCCTGAGCCTTGCTACCAGAGCTGAGGCAAACCTGCCCTGCTGTGTTGTGTTGGACCCAGCTTCAATTCTGGCATCCACACAAGCACTACTGTGTGCCAAGCCTTCTTCTCCTTATCAGGAAACCTGTCAAGGGAAACGCCTTTAATACTTGAATTTTATGTTTAACATGAAAGTCATGCAGATAAGTTAAGTGCATGTTACGTACTTTAGGTAAATGTTGGCTTGTTGAATCAGTAATTAATTTGGTTAGATTTGTGTCCAGAAATAATAACAGTAACCAGGAGGAGATCATCAGATAAAACTCCACAATGAAAATCATGCTTTAGCTTCATCTGTGCACACAACTTCTGGCACTTGAGTTGTAGCAGTGATATATCCCAGACAGGCAGTAGGATAAAAATCTACTTCAGCATCAAAATAAACCACAAGCAGCTTAAGAATCCAACTAACACAGCAAGAAAATAATCTTTGGTGTATTGCTGATCTACATTTACTAGCAGTTTATCAAATAATAAACACAAGGGGAGTAAAACTGAGGCTGTGAAGGCAAAATCAAATCTTTTGGGGACAATAGCCAAGCAGGAATATTATCTGGAACTGGAGGTCATTTACCCTCTTGACCAAACTCCCTGTATTTTAAGTTCATTTTCAGCTGAAGCTGAAAGTTATGAGAATTTCTGGTTCACTTCTGTTTGTTTGCTGTCAATGCAAGAAAACAAATAAAATAATTTGAGTTGACCCAGGAAGATTTGACTAATTAAGAAGTAAAAGAAAGGGTCTTGGATCCGTTTGATGCTTCATTTGACCTGGCATAAAATATTATTTGTGTATTTGATTATCTTAGAACTTTTGGCTTAAAACTCAGATTGAAGTTATAGGGGAAAAAATAATTTTTATTTGAAGTGAGAAAGCATCCTTTTTTTCTTTTGTAATTTTAATTTTTAATCAAGATGGGTAGATCAAAAAACGCAATTTCTGCAGGACTTTTTTTTTTCAAATCTGTTTTGTGGTTTTCTCTGTAAATGGCTGGTGCAGAAAGCTCTACCCAGATTTGTAGAATAAAGACCTCTGAAAATGTACTCTAGGAACACATTTTTCAGGCAGAACTAGCTCCCAAAGATATAAAAGCAGACAGTGTGCACAGCATGAAGCTGGTTTCTCCGTGTACTATGGACACACACATGAACCCAAAAGGAGAGTCTTCCAAGTGCATCTAGCAATTAATATCTCCCCAGGATATTTTTCTCCTAATATTTTTGCACAAAAGAAAGAGGATGCACACTGATTTAAAAACATAGTGTATAGTGCCCCATAGCAGGTAAGCATGTATTCAGTTTGTCTCTGCTCTAGGAAGTAAGTCCATCCATGGGAATATAATCATAAAATCTGCTACTGCATTGTAAAGCTGGCCAGAGCTGATTTTAAAAAGGGGGATGGATTGTGCTCAATTAAAGAAAAAAAAAAAACCATAGCATTTTTCACTTTAGATTGTACCAGCACTTGAATCCTCTTGCCATGCTTGGATAAAAAACTACCAGACCCAAAAAGTGATAGCTCTATAGGACCAGCTATCAAGGCATAAAAAGAAAAAAATTATCTTGAAAGTTTTAAATTATAGATACATTTCTAACAATAATAAGATATTGGAATTTTGTTGAGTCTTCTTCTGGGAAAAACAGATTAATTTATCCCTGAGTTAAAAAATCAGTGAGTTTGTCAAAACTCAAAATCACTGTTTCTCAAGAAATACTGATTTCTAGTGTTTTATTTTCCAAATCAAATCTTAGCTTTGAAATTTCAAAATTCATCATAGAAATCTCTGAAAAATTGCATTAGACATACAACACTAAAGTTATCAAAGACAGAATAACAGAGGAAAATATAATGTTGATAAGGTCAAAACCTTCATGTTTTCAGTCCTGTTTGGAATCATGTACACTAATATTATAATAATGTGAGCAAAAAACAATTCAACCATGTCATAAGAAACTACCTGTTAGCTTTGAAAATGCTGTTACCATACAAAAATGAATATTTTCACATCTTTGCTGTTTAAACTGATTTTCTCCTATTATGTATACAGATTTGACCAAGTCAGGGCTGACTGTTGTTACAAAAATTTAGACAAGAGTTCATCACAACTGCTTGTGAATCTTTGTGTAGAAACAGAACAGACTTTCCACAGGAAATTTAAATGCTGGACCCACTTTGCTGAAATTAAAAGTTATGATGAGGAAGTCTGACAGAAAGCAAAA